TAACAAAGTCCCATAGGTCTTCTTCCACCCAAAGTGGCCTTCGGTATCATGGCATTCCCCTAAGATCAAGCTCTTGATCGCTTCATCATTCGGTATGCATAGCCTATCATTCACATCAGTTCTTTCAAAAAATAGACCCTGAGTAACCTTGTGATCAGGAAACTCTGTTGGCGCTTCTTGTACACGCTTAATCATCATTCCATAGACAGGATCAGAGGAATACGCACTCCTAATCTTCTCTTGTAGATCAGCACCAACATCTAAATATGTCACAATGGCACCGAAAAAGTCAGATCTACGACTTAGTGCATCAGCAACGACATTATACTTACCCTTTACTGGCTTTAACTCAAAGTCAAATAGATCAATCTCCGCAGCCCACCTTGTTAACTTAGGTGTCATTCGAGCTTGCGTTTTGAGCCAGCGAAGTGTTTCATGGTCAGAGTATACCTTAAAATGTCTTCCTAGAAGATAGTGTCGCCAATGATTGAGAGCCTCACGAAGAGCATATAACTCTCTCTCATACGTCGAAGCGGCCACTTTCTCGTTAGGCAACCGGCAAGACATCAACTCCACAGGTCTGTATCCATGTCCATCATCTTGCTGGAGTACAGCACCTATACCATATTGACTAGCGTCGGTTGTGACCACGAAAGGTAATGAAGGGTCTGCCACTTTCAAAACCGGGTAGTTAATCAAACACTTCTTCAGACGCTTAAACGACATCGTGCAATCTGAATCCCACTTCCAAATTACTTCTTTCTTGAGCAACCTGCGAAGGGGAGCAGCTATTATCGTAAAGTGTCTCACGAACTTTCGATAATAGTTGGCTAACCCAAGGAACGACCGCAACTCAGTCAAAGTGCGGGGGTTCGGCCAATCTCTGATTGCTGTTATTTTTGCATCTTCCGGTTTGACCCCATCTCCATCAATCACATGTCCTAAATATAGAACCTGATGCTTGGCCCATTCACACTTCTTTGGGTTTAACTTGAGTTTTGCTTCTCGCAACTTATTTAGCACAAGTCGAAGGTGCTCAATATGTTCTTTCTCGTCTTTACTAAAAATCAGAATATCATCTAGATAAATAACAACGAATTTGTCAAGCCATTCACGAAAAAGTTCGTCCATCGTCCTTTGGAAAGTGGCAAGGGCATTTGTTGGACCAAAGGGCAAAACTATGAACTCATAATGCCCATACCTTGTCCTGAAGGCAGTTTTATGTTGGTCTTCCGGCTCAACCTCAATCTGATGGTAGCCGGATCAATCTTTGAAAACGTCTTGCAACCCTGCACGCGATCCAGCAAATCATCGATTCGCGGTAATGGTTCATCATTCTTCACTGTTATATCATTTAATCTCCTATAGTTTGTACACATGCGAACGCCGCCATCTTTCTTAGGTACAAAGAGTACAGGCGCAACATAGGGTGAGGAACTAGGTCTTATCCATCCATTTTTCATCAACTCATCGAGTTGGGTTCGCAATTCATCCAATTCTTGAGGCGACATACGATGGATAGGCCCCTTAGGAGGTGAACTCCCTTGAACAATATCAATGCGTTGCTTAATTAGTCTTTCTACCACACCACTTGGGGCTTCAGCCACATCTGCGAACTCTTTTAGAATTCTTTCAATCTCTTGAGACCTAACTTCTTCCTTACTTTCCCCTTCCTTTACTGGGCGCACATATGCAACAAAGACTTGATCATATAAGTTATATTTCCTTACATGGCGAACGAACGCTGGGACACTCATGCAACAATGAGCTAGGCTGCTTTCTTTTCCAGACTCATGATAGAGACGGATTTTGTTTTTACCTCCTTGCGAACTTGGGAACCAACATTCATACTCTCTCCTCTTTAGATCCGCATTCGCAGCCTCACCCCAATCCATGCCTAACAACACATCAAAGGGCAAGTTATCCTCCACCAAAAAGGTCAAAGAGTGGAGAACACGTTCCTTCTTCCCCTCTGCCTCTAGCCCAAAGTATACTTGAACCCCCTCGACGTATCGATCCATAACAACTTCACTGCTATTAGCTAACTTACTTACAATGGGCTCACTCAATTTCTTAACCTTAAGCGAAAGACGCAGTTTCGGCAAACCTTTCTTACTAATATAACTGCGTGTAGATCCACTGTCTATCATACCTCCAACTCTTATTCTGTTTATTTCAAGATCTGCAATTATTAACTGTCCTTTCTTTTTTCTCATTTCAGTCTAGGCTTGGCGACGAGTGGCCAACTCATCACCCACGCCAGCTAGGGATCCATCTGGAGAGATGCATACGTTTGCCACCTCTGGACAATGCACTAGATGGGGGCAGCCTTCCTCTTCAGTTTCTACCATTGGAGCCTTCGAATGGGAGGATTCTGGTTTTTCAACATTCGAAGCCCCGGCAGAGGCAACTGGGACCTCTACTGACTGTTCCCTTTTGCTCCCCTATATTCGGGACAATAGGGTACAATGTGGTCGGGGTCCCCACATTTCAGGTACTGGTCGGCGACTTTTCTTTCTTGCCACACTTTTTCTGTGATTCCCAACTTCTTCCAAGGCTCCCCTTCGGGTAGACCTGGATGTGGTGGGTAAAGCTTATCCCACTTGTTATACCACGTGCCTCTTCCTCTACCCAGGTGGAGTAAGTACCACGGCCACCTTGCGAGGGACCGTTTCCCCTTCCCCTCACGTAGTGGCTTCCTTCACCACCACCCCTCTAAGGCCACCTTGCGAGGGACCGTTTCCCCTTCCCCTCACGTAGTGGCTTCCTTCACCACCACCCCTCTAGGTGCCGTATCCTCGTCCACCACGGCCGCGGCCTCCTCTTCCTCGGCCACGCCCTCTTCCTTGACGCCCTCCCCCGCGAGCTACAACGGTCGCGTAACTCCCCTCCTGAGCTACCGGTCCGCTGAGTTCATCGAGACCATAATCTACCTGATCCCAGGAAATGGTCTCAACGCCTCCTTCTTCAAAGGTTAGAAGGAGACTATCCTTCCCAGGTATAGACCCTGAGATAGTGCAGTTTTGCCACTTCTTTCCTGCTTGCAGATCTTTCCAATAGTGGCAATAATTGGCTTCAGCGAGGAAGCCTGCATGATCTATTGCGATCTTGCCAAACTTCTCGTATGTCATTCCTTCTTCCTTGCAAAACTGCTCAAAATTTGGGCAGGTGTCAATCCATGGTCAGGGCATTGCAACAATTCATCCATTGTTGCTTTCAAGGCAGAGGTGCTCTTCCATTTCCTGTCAGGGAGGTTGAGGATTAGCATTTCTATGCGTCGTGCTAAGTTTTTATCCTCAAATCTTTCTCGAACTGCTTCAAGGAAATCTTCAATTCGAGTCTGTTGTGAGAATTCTACCATTGAGCTGCACCCCGCCTCTTTCTGTAGCGAAATTGCAAAACTCATGGCGTCGCCTTCCATGCATGAACTCGCCATTAGCACCCTGTCCCAATATGGGATTCGCTGCCCAATGCAAAACACTTTCTTCTTTCTTCCCATTATAGGTCCACGGCAGTTTGAGTTTAATCTTACTAACCTGCCCTGTTTCCTGTGGAAGTTTCCCCTTCGGATCTCCAACTTTTTTCCCCTTCTTATCGTCTTCGCCATCGTCATCACCATCTCCTCCTCTGCCTCCAGCTCCCTTGACAATCTTTTCTATAACCTCGGGAGTGAAAGTCTTGGTGACATGTTCATCCAAGGCCCTCATGTAGGTCTGGATGTGTTGGTCAACATCCTTTGCTGACTTTTCTAGGAAATTATTCCAGACAGATTCGAACTCAACCCGATGTGTTTCTACTCTTTGTAATGTCTGACGCATCAAAGGCCATATCCTGCCTTGTGTTGAAGACAGCCTCTCTGAGGAGAGCAAGTTGTTCTTCTGTTGCAGAGGGTTTATCCTTTTGGTCTTCTAAGGCCTTCTGCAATTTTTCCCCTTCTGCCTGCAGTTTATTTTTTTCTTCCACTTCTTGCCTTCTGGCTGCTAACAACTTATTATTCAATTCAACCCTCTTCTCCTCCAACATCAGATTTCGTTCGACTGTGTCCGTTACAGTGGTTAGCTTTGCGATGAACACATCCCATTCCTCTTCAGACTCACGTAACGGTTCGCTGGAGTAGTAGTGCTGACCAGCCCAAGCCAGCGGTTCAACGGGAAGCCGGTTTGCTGTACTACTCTCACGTATGTCAAGATGACGACGTCTTTGCAATGTCTCCCCTTCTTCCTGTTCTTCTTCTTCGTCTTCTTCTTGAATGCTTTTCAATTCTTCTTCTAACTCTTTATCCATCCTTTCTTTCAACTTTCTTTTTGCCTATTCTTCTTTCTGTTTCTTTTTAGCCCCTTTCTCTTTCTTTTTCTCTACCAATCTACGGTCAATCTCTGCCTGTTCGGCAGGTGTGGGTCCAGGTTTTACCGTCCCTGATCGCATTAACATCCAGGACGCACACACGCGTCCGAATCCCAGCGGGAACATTAACCGGAATAGTGGACCCAATAGGACAGAGAGGGCCAACAGGCCCTGGATGGGATAGTCGTCCATGGTGATGATCGGCACAGGTGGACCTCCACCGGTTCACCACGACACTATCCCACTCAGACTTGCTTGCTAACGTAGTCTTGACTTGTGGCGAATGGAGTATGGTACTTCGTTTTTTTTTTTTTGTTTTTTTTTTTAGCTATGGAAGGTGCTGCACACAATGAATACTCACTCAAAAAAAAATACTTGTCTGTTCTATATGTACATTTTTTTTTTATGCTGTCTGGCTTTCCTGGATCAGACTCTTGCAATGCGTTTCTTGTATCTTGCTGTAATTCCCCCTCTATGCCTTGTTTGTTGGTCTAACTGGCTGGTTGTCTGGATGCACGTATGGAGTAAAGCGCAGAAGTGTCAGATGCAGATGACACACGTAGTCAACCGGGCAATAATACTTTGCTCGGATTTTTCTTTCTTTCTAGCTTAACTGGCCCTGTAGATGCTCAGCATCATACTTGCGCTGCCTGGTACTTGCAATCTGACGTGGCATATGGCCACTACCCACATCGATTCACAGTCTCCTGGTGACGTGACACAGCCTATCTACCAAGAGGGGTAGGAGAGAACTCTAACTCTACCTACAGAACATTGACCACTCAACCTGATGTGACCAGGCCCTGACACATTGCATTCGGACCATCCAGACTCTGACAACTCAGATTCTGACACACTATGATGATCCAGATCCAGACTCGACTTCCAGACCAGCAGCAGTCACCTTCAGAGGGGAAGAGAGAGAAGGTAGGGGACACACACATGCATGCAGGTTAAGGGCAAGAGGTGCTTCTCTCTTGTTGAAGATACGGCCGATGATGCTCCTCGGTGCTCCGCACGCTCCAGGTAAGTAACCTTCGCCCCTTCTTCTTCGGCCTGCTCCCCCTACTATCAAAACACTTCTTCTCCTCCTCCCTTCCTCCACTAAACCTCCATCACCACATCTTCAGCATTTCTTCTCGCCGGCCTTGCTCCTGCCAACGCTATGAGTGCAACGAGCATCAAGCTCTGATACCAAATTTGCATGGGTCCTGGGGACCATCTCACGCAAGAGTGCTCACAACATGCATCATCATTGCTCAAGATGAACTGAAGTCTTCACACAGTAGACAAGGATAGATGAGAAGAGTACCGAGTTGCACAGCTTATATTATAAAAAATGTCGTTTACAAGAGTATCACAGTTCCCTGAGTTCAGCGCTTATCAGCGCAATGCAAATCTCTTCTCCAACTCATCAATGCGACTTCTACTCATCAGCGCCACATCTGCAGATCATACCCAACTCAGGTAAGTATTCTCCATAGCCTAGTCTTGCTTCAACACTCTCTGTCTCGGTCC